CTTGAGGTAGAAAATTGAATTAGGGATCGCAATAGCAACAAGAATAACAGAGACTAAAGAAATAGGAGAAAAACATCGTCTCATTACGCGGCGATCATCTGACTGTGTGTTGGTTCTAGAGCGGATATTGCAATCTGTATCGCCTCAACACTCCACTGACGTGGCACCGGTCTAGAACGGAAAGACAGGGCGATCCGGTAACGGGGCCCCCAACATCCCCTAACTGTTGAGCTTTTGAGCGCGAGAGAGTCCTTCCTGTTACCCATGGGAGCCACTGGGTACTCCTAAAGAGACAACTCAGGAACCATTTTTACCGTGAACCGTGCCTTTAACACTAGCAATCGAAGATGATGAAAATCTGATCTGTAAATAGAATAATAGTAGTAAAATTTCTCTGCGTCTCTTTCTTGTCGTTTAAAAATGTTCAAAATTATCACCAAATGCGTAGGTGCGCATGATCTCAACTTTTGTGTACACTTTTGCGATTCAATTTTCCACTTATAATTCAATTTCATTTTCAAACTCCTGAATTCGGAAGATTACCCCCACTGTGCTGCCATGCCGCTGGTTTCTCGAGCTCTCATTTAGGTAATTCGTAGACGTCTGTAACGTACTGTTTCCCGTTCGTTCTAGTACTTGGTTAGAAGAAACGGCCCGATGCGAGTTCATTTTTTCTGCATTGCACTCCCATTGTTTGAAACTAACTTGATTCAGATGTTTTGCGCTGAATCACCAAATATGCCTATGAATTATGAAAGTTACAATACAGTGCACGTAGAGTGAATGAAAATGCAAAGTAACTGTGACCATATTGGGCAGTTTGGACACGCACCAAACCATCTCAGACATCGAAAAGCCGCTGAAGGTGGTAAGGTCAGCACACAAAGGTTCCACTGCATTTGAGAAAAACGCTTCGCTAAATTCAAAAACCACATCTCACACAAAACCCGATCCAAGTTTCATGCTTATTAAGCCCCATGTTTACTACTGCTTCAAATAACCGCTGCTGGAGCTGTTGTGCCCATGTCTTGAGTGCTTGTTTGTGCTGAGGACCCTTTTGAGATTATACAGGGTGTCCCAAAATTATTTGCGCCAAGTTATAGCAATATATTTGAAACTTCTCAACTGCAAAAGACGATGGAATTTCTATGCACGTTAGCTAACACTATGTGCTACAACATGCTAAAGTCGTATTTCAAAATATCCCCTGTGAGCGCGAATAGAAGTCAAAGTTTGCTTTCGACTTGATCGCATGTAGCACGCAGGTATCCTTCTCCATTTCATCCCAGCCGTCCTTCAGCTTTTGCATTCTAGGACTCCAAACTGGGACTGCAAACTCGACAGGTCCTTTTCTAATCAGGGACCATTCGTGGGATTCATGTGAGTCAAGCTCTGGAAAATAGGATTACCATTCCTCTTCACCAATGAAGTCGGGCAGCTGTCGTCGGCACCACTCGCGGGCAAACTTGGCTCTGTGGGCTGGAGTAGCGTCCTGCTGGAAGGACTATGAGATGTTCCAGAAAACGTAGTCGGATCAATGTTTTATTTACTTCCAATAGTACGCCGTTTGAGTACTGGTCTTGGTCAATTTTCACGCCTGCACCGAAGAAACCACGAGCGGCTTACCTTTGTCAGTGGTTTTCTCGAAAAACATCATTTTACTATTCTGATAACAACCTTTTTGTGTGATATTACACGCTAGGCGTTTCTTCCCAGAACGCGAACGTTTTGGTTGTGAGGAATGGCTTTATCGTAAAAAATTTCTTGACCAGAGAAAACGACGAAGGGTTGCGTGTCACCACTTTCGACTTTCTGCTTTTTTGGTCCTGCAGTATCTGTTGAGATCGGAATTGAAGCGAAATTTCTGCATACGATAGGAACGGCAGTGAAGCTCCTGCATGACATTCTTCCATCGCGATAACTCGTATAAGCCGTGCCCGTTAATTACCTTTTAATGGGTCACCCAGGATCCCGACCGATTGGCATACGGACCATTTTAATAGTCCTATCTTCAGAACATTCTACCTTTCTATCTTTTCTGGTTTGTCTCTGATTCAATCTTCTTTTCTATATCGTTTAATAGCCTCCTATACAGTTATTAGAAAAATACCAAGGAGTTTCATAATGCCCTTCCACCTCGCGCGTGTCAATGATTGCAAGTGGCATTGAATGAGCCTCCTCCATCTGAAAGATAATGGGAGTTCCACATCAGCAACCATGCATATTGCAAGGAAACCTTCTTATGCACTTAATTAATAACAGATAATGTGAATTTGATAGATTATTTCTACCTTAAAAATTACTGAACTTTGGCGCAAATAATTTTGGGACACCCTGTATTCATAACTTCATTCAGAGAATCATCATTTGGCAAATTGGAAAGCTGATTTGAAATCGGAAAATCGTACTGCAGTATAAGTCGCCTTTCAAATTGCCATTTTGACTTGGGATCCCCCTTGTTGGTTGCATATTTCGGCCGGGTTTTCCCAGTTTTTTTCAGCTTTTTAAACAAAATAATGCTTGCTGCTGAAGATGCTAGAGAACCCTGTTGTTGTCTTATAGTTCTCAATGAAAACTGCTCTCTCTCTACTTCTTAGAACAATCTGATACCATTCTTCCATTTTCCTTAGATAGATCCTCTTGTTCATCCTCGTCTAGTGAATTGCACAGTACATTGTCCAGTGATTCAATTCCGCAGGTATATTCGCTTCGTCACAAGATTATCACTTTTCTAATCCGGCGAAAATAGGCATTAGTCGATTCCTTTTCGTGGCTCGTCTATCGGATATTCGATTTTCAGAACCACCTTGTTCTGATTCTGCACACGACGAAGCTGCCCTGTATCTCAGACGCATCGTTGAAACATTTCGCGATATGCAGCAGTGATTGGATTTGTTTTCGCTAATACCTTCATATACGCGGACAAACGACAATGTTAGATTTCCAGTGCACATCGGACTATATGTGTTGATACAGATTGGTTTCGAGATGTATAGTAGTAACTGGCATTCACCCGAATGCAACCTTCTATTTTTGTATTCATTATGCGCACAAGAATAGTGAAACTAGTAAAAACTCAAAAAACAGAAGTACAGGAGTTAGGAAGGCGCGAGGATTAGTAAGGCAGACAAAAGAGAACCAAACGTAACAGATGCTCAGATTTAGACAAAACAGGTTTGGACAGTTTTTAATTAGAAGTCAGGAACTTCAATCAGTTCCATGTAATTGATCTTGACCAGAGCAGTTGTGAAGAGAAAAGTATCTTTATTCCCTAAAAAAACCTCTTGGTAACTTGTTAAACCGCTCGGCCTTTCAGTTCTGTGATAAAGCAATTTCTCAGGAGGCCACTCACGGCGGCACACGAATCACGTCTAAACGACACCTAGATCCACAGCAACATAAGTTGAGACAAGGCGCTCCGCGTAGCACAGACAAACGGCTGAAAAACCTCAGCATTCCCATTTCGACACAGGCGAAGGGCGGTCGCCCTCAATCGTCAGAAGTAAGAGAAAACGAAAGCTCCATTTCGTGTCCCATTCATATCAGACGAATTATATGCAGCCATGCGATCATGTATGAGAAAAGCAGGTCTTCAGGACATGTATAGAGTGGTGGATATTCGACCCTCGCACCCTAAACAAGGTGTGGTTTTAAATCGCCTGTATGACCGCCTGTGCACAACGCCTTCGTGCGTCATATGCCCATATGGTGAGAAAGAAGACTGTATGACAATTCGGTGTTGCATACCTAATATCGTGTCTTCAATGTAAAGGGGATTATATATAGTGGTAACAGGCAGACCTCTTTGCATCAGAATAAAGGAGCACCTGGATGGCATGCAAAAGTCGAGAACAGCTGCTCCCCTAGGACAACATAGGGTATGATGCCATGAGAACACGAGGTTCGAGGTGGCGGTCACGATATTATCACGTGAATCCGGTACTGCGGCGCGGCGAACCTTCGAGGCCTTTTAGATCAAGGCCCTAAAGTTAACCGGAGGGCGTGGCGGTAACCACAAAGCCGGCGCCCTTTGAGGCACTATGCGGCTTTTGACATACGCTGTCGATTCCCCTGTAGGACCTCTCAAGGGCGGGGTCAAGGGGCTTATTCAGTAGTCGATAGGATTTGATTGGGAAGGGGTCAGCGGCGTGCTCGGCCTTGTGTGGTTTTTTAGGAGGTATGATCTATGTGATCAGCCCCTTGGAGGCGTTTGAAGCAAGTTGACCTGAGGCTCACCCTATTGAAACCGCAGCCGTACCAGCTTAGGGTGATCGGTAGACCTCAAAGGTCGACTGTCCCAAAGGTTAGTTAACAACTTCCAACTTCAGTCCACGTCTTCTGAACTTTCCCTGTGGATTGAAATAGTGCTTGAGTTTTTTCAAATGCTTTTTGTCTTTCCAGGCTCTGAGGAAGGTGAAGGCACTGAACCGTCAGCTTAAAAAAGTTTCTTACTATCTCGGTTCTACAGCTTAAACAAGTAAACCTCAAAGTTATTATTTACGCATCCTATAAATCTCAGCAGGGCGCGCTTCAACACAAAACATAAACCTCTATTAGTCTCGTCATGTTTCTTCCCAGTTGTAGGTTATGCTTTTCAGCTGTGCAAATCAGAATGCATATCGCGTGAATCCGACTTTGCGGCGCGGCGGACCACGGAAGTGGCCTTCCGCTGCACTATGCGGTATTTGACCTACGCAGTCGCCCAATAATATGGTCTGTCGGTTTGTAAAAACAGGGTCGCCTTAGTGGCCTTCAGTGAAAAGGTATTTGTGTTAGAGAAACTGCTGTAAGAGATGGAATATGGAAAACAAAAGCAAAAGAGAGTCAAATTGCGAGGCGATATCACTCTATAACAATGCTGTTACTGTGACAATGACCCCGGGAGGTCCTCTCGGCGGGCGGGGTCGGGGGCATAATACGGTATTCGATAAGAGGTAATTTGGAGAGGGCCGGCGGCGCGCTCGGCCCTGAGGACCTCTGGGAAGCCTTGACCTACGTGATCAGCTCTCTGCGAGCCCCCGAAGCAAGTAGACCTTCACTCCATTTAAATCGTAGTTCTTCCGACTGGAGTGGTCGGTGGACCGCACAGGTCGGCTACCCTGAGGGTTGATTGCTCTATCAATTACCGACTTCGTAACCGCGATCTACGCCATTTGACTTTCCTCTGTAGGTTGAAATCGTGCTGGATCGAAAGCTTTCTCGAATGGCTTTTGTCTTTTCAAGCTCCGAAGAAGGTGAAGGCAACGAAACGTAAGCTCAATGAAATATTGTTAAAATTTCGGTCTGCACAGCTGAAGATGTGCAATCCTCAAATAGTATTCACCCGTTCTTGCAATTACTCATACGATAGTAACTAGAAAAGCAGAAAACATGAGTGTCTCTAGATCTATGTATTGCATGGTAATACCACCCGGTCGTTGCAACCACTTTCATGCAAAGCTATTGGATAGCGCAAACTATCGAGCCTACGCTGACGCAGGGGTGTTGTGCGATTCCCGCGTCAATGTAATGAGGTCATATCGCGTAAACGACGAGACGTGGAAACGTGGACGAGACGCGCTATAATACCATGCTTACCATCATAACGGGAAAAATAGGAACTAAAAATGATCAACTATGCACGTTTACAGAAAGACTGCATTGAGAAGAATCGAAACATTTTAAAGTTACTATTATTTTGAACGTTTGAAAGTAAATTGTTGGCCTAGAAAGTGAATCCTTATTCTCGAAAGAGCTTCATTGCCATAGTGATGAGAGAGAGATCTGCACTACTTCATGGTGAAGCCATGGATTAGTGTAAAACTCATTTGGTCTATCTCATTTGAAGGGTACTGAAGCGATTGCACTGAAACACGTACTTAACCTGCCGCGTGGTGCATCGCGTGCTGCGTGCGTCAAGTGCTGGGTCACGCGTGAGACGCACCCCTCCCCCTCCCTAACGCGGCACTACTACGGTCAAATAGGATGAATTGATACGAATTTTGTAGACATCTCTTCTTGGATGCTCCTTTGACATCTTCTGTGCCAAAACGATCGTTTTGGAGGAGCTGCCGCAAATTAGCCCCAAACCACAAAACCATATGTATGACGTGTTGAAAGTGTGACTATCTTCCATCAAACCAGTTATTAATCCTAGTTTAGCACATCCGCCCTCTTTTCGACCGATTTCGAGTGAATGTGACTGGAGATCTTTTATTTCAGTTTGGAAAAAAGCCGAAGGAAGGCATCAGCTTTTTTTGAAGATATTTACCGGAACGATTAACAGAATTCGATTCATAAATCGTGGCCAAGTTAATGGCCAACGTAAAGTGCCCTATTGTCAGTAACAAAACGGTATAAAACAATTACCATTTATAATTTATGATTATATTTATATTTATAATGAATTGAGCTATCCTCACTACATATAATCCACAAGTTTGGTGTGTTGTCTGTATGTATGTATATATGCATGTATCTATGTTTGTTTGTTTGTTTGTTTGTTTGACGCGAAATTCAGTATTACCTGGGAAACAGCTTCAAGGATCGGGGCAAGTTTGGGAGGAGTAAGCTTAGGACGAGATTAGCAGAGCATATATGAGCTCAGTGGAGCTCCACTCACAAGGGGCGGGGCAAGCGCCAGAATGGGCGGTGCCAAGAACCGATTTTTTTGGTTGGCCGGTACCCAGACACGGAATGGGCCAACAAATTAGAAAAAGAATACTCGCGGGCGGCGGGCGGGGCGTCCTCGCAATGAGCGGTACTTCCCCCAGAGGCTTCTAACGACTCGTAGAGGGTGTGGAAGCCAGGAAAAAATAAAAGGAATGAGCAAGGCCTCATGCATGCGGAACATGCGTGAAGTAAGTGAAGCTTCGCCCACGATGGGTGGGACGTGCATTCAAATGTAGGGTCCTTTTAAGAAGATATAGCGTCTTCTTGAAAACCTTCTAGAACGTGGAAAAAAGTGGTTAGAGACTATCAGAGAAGCTCGGTCCAATCCCTGAAGTGGGCGGAGTTTGCGCTAGGGCGGGCTGGGCTACGGTAAAAAATTCATAATTGTTCAAAAGGGCTTTAGAGCGCGGAAAAAGGTGATTGGAGGCTATCATAGAAACGAATCCTCAAAGTGGGCGAGAATTGGCTTGGGGTGGGCGGGCTAAGGTCAAAATTCATGATCTGTCCTGAAATGTTTTGCAATGACTGCGTGCCGCAGTGCTCCACATACCCCATTTTTATTTTTATATATAAACCACAAATGTCCGTTCGTCTGTCGGTCTGTTTTTCTCTTGATGTGTGGTGCCTACGCTTCCCTTCAAGTGAAAAAGATTACCCAAGTTGAAACAAGTGGGGAATGAGTAGATACTCAGGGGCACATATCTGAGCTAGGCTCCGTCCAGAGGGTGTGTCGTGAGATAAGAGTGGTTTTAACGGGAGTCTATACTTCCTGTCCTCATGAACCTGAAACGTTCAAATTTGGTGGAAGTACAAATGGCAGGATGGGAGTTCTGGAAGTAGGTGGCAAACTAGACTCTCCCCGAAGGAGGAGAGGCGTGCGCAAAAATTGTCGGGTTTCACCTACAGTAGCGCTCAAAAGTCTTCGGTGAAATGCTTTGACGCTTTTTCGTCCATAACTTTTTTCTTAGTAGACCAAATCACGCGAAGTTTGGATATGTTTAACTAGAGCATATTTCACCCTACCCAACACTATTTGTCTGCGAAGCTGCAATGTCCAAAGGTAGGGCAAGGTATTTGTTGCGGTAGCAGATTTTGCTAACAGAAAAGTTGTTGACGTCTGCACTTATTCGCACCTTATGTGCGTTTTTCTCATCCATTGTGTTCGGGGTTACCGCTCGTACACTTTGGACATGACAAAAGGGAAAGAGATTCTAGAAGGATTCTCATCTGTATTTTCAGTCGATTTTGAGTTCATGCTTTTTGGAATATGTGGAACACCATTATTGCAAGTTAATAGTGGTGAATATTCACAATACACCCACGCTCCAAACATAGAAATTTCGCAAGATTAGACCCGGTAAGAAGGGAGTTACGACTGAAAAGTGTGGCTGAAGAACCATTTCACCGAAGACTTTTGAGCGCTACTGTAGATTGCGCAGATTTGATAGCTGTACAGATGTACACGGAAATCGCTTAGAGTTGAAATGTTGAAGGTATACAGGCGGCATAATGCGACTACTGAAGGCAGGAGCCAGGCGTAGATTCCGCCTACTGGGGGTTCGGCGTGCGCGAAAATGGCTCGATTAGAGTTAAGCGTTCAAATTTAGAAGGGATAGAGGAGGCAGGATTGGACTACGTAGAGAGTGTAGAGTCTGGAACCGGCAATCCTGTCAATCCACAGCTTTACTCCCTTCAGAGTATCCATGTGGTAGGATTTGCGCTGTGAGGACGTTGGCGGGTGTGGTGCGGTTCACGCGTCAATATAATGAGGTCATCAGACAAAACGCGCTAAAACATCATGCCTACCATCATAACGGAAGAAATAAGAACTTATAAGTAGTATAGGTGAAGAAATGACCAGCTATGCACATTTAAAGAAGGATTGCGTTTGCTAGGATCAAAAAATTTAAAGATATTCTTATTTTGAACGTTTGACAAGTGAATTGTTGACCTATGAGGTGAATTCTCGATCTCGAAGGAGCTTTTTTGCCATAGTGAAGAGATTTGCTCTATTCATGGTGAAGCCGTGGACTACTGCAAATTTATTTGGTCCATCTCAACAGAAAGGTACTGAAACGATGCTGCGTGCGCGAAGACCTGTAATGGGGTCACGCGTGAATCGCGCGCCTCCCGACGTTGGCCGATATACCGATTTTTGTTAAATGACCAATCAGTGGCTACTTTTTTCCCTTGAGCAATGCAATGTTCCAACCCCGAGGACGTTGAAGAGACCTTGATGGAATATATTGTAGCTGTAAACGCAGCGATGGAGAATGGCAACCGATATTGACCAATACCGATTTGAACTACTCCATATGGAGCTGCTACTCACTACTTATTTTTCCGACAAGAAAAGGGAAGGAGTTATGATAGTTCTGTGTGTGTAAAGGTTTGTGTGTCGGTGTATCTTTGACTAGAAACTCATAACACCTCTTTCTGTGGACCTTGAGGACTCATGTCGGTAGGAGTACAGGCGGCAGACTGGAATGATGGCAGGTGGCAAACTAGGCTCTCCCTATAGGGGGAGAGGCGTGCGCAAAATTTCTCAAGTTGGACCTAGACCGCACAGGTTCGATAGGTTTACAGGCGGCAGTACGGAAATGCTGCTGGCAGGTGACACGACTGGAAATTAAAGAAGATAAAATGAACGAAGTTAGTGAAACACATGTGAGTTGAACAGGGTTCCTCTCATGAGGAACAAGGCGCTCACGCTTCGTATTTCCCTAACTTTCTTTCAATAGCAGCAGCATCGTACATACTTTCATGTTCATCGATAGTAGGGAGACCAAATACTTGATTGCGATTCCATCAAAATTTTTTGTGAAGCTGAGGACATTATAATACTTGCAGTGCTTAAATTTGTGCATTAGCAGTTGGCGACCATGCGTCCCGATGCCAGGACGCACGTTTTTGGCTTGCTAGGGAACTTATATTATTTATCTGGTGTTCATATAATTTTTTCATGTTTTGATGTATCAGCTGAGCTCACAGCCTTCTAGAGAATCTTGAAGCATTGCGGTCCAGGAATCATTCATTTCTAACTACAGATATAAGAGAAAATAAAGGTTAATGTAAGAACAATGTAAAAGCGCGGTCGCCAATGGGTTAAACAACGATACAGATGTGAAAAGCCGCATTGGTTCGAATTTCTACTTGGTGTGAATGGTGTGCTTTTCTGTTTGCAACATCCCTTCTTTAGAATGTTATTCATCGAGACGTGAAACCATCGAACATCCTTCTGGACTGGAATGGTTCTGTAAAACTCTGTGATTTTGGTATCAGCGGACAGCTGATTGAATCTCGTGCTCATACTGTTCAGGCTGGCTGCCCTCCCTATATGGCTCCGGAGCGTTTCGATCCGCGAGTTAGTTTCCAGCCATCATTGTTTCTGTCTTCCATTCTCAACATTATAGTTTCCAGTTCAATTCGGATTACGATATTCGAAGCGATGTATGGTCAGTAGGTATTTCATTGATCGAAATAGCTACTGGAAGATATCCATACTCTCATATCGATTCTGAGTTCGCTATATTAGCTGCTATTGTTCGTGATCCACCACCCACTCTCCCCATGGTGAGTTATACTCAAATGCCTTCATTTTTGATACATTCGTCTTGTAATATTTATGCAACATTTATTAAAGTGCATCATATTTCATGTCGAATATGTTCGTATTGTACCTATAAACTTTTTTTTTTTTGAACATAAGGAATTGAATATAAGAGACCAGGCCTCCAATTATCAACAAAATGAGAGGTGAGAGATATTTTTGACCGATAGCGCCATTCACACTCTCTCAAGCCCATAGATACCATATCAACATGCAAGATTCAGATAGTACTTGAGAAAAACAAACATTGGATGGAAGAAGTTGTGGCAGTTGCGCTCTATGAGATTCTTCGGTGAAAATGTAATTGAAGAGGGGGGAGGGGGAGGGACACATATCAGTGTTAGCATAACATGAAATTGACACGGCGCCACGTATTAATCCTTGTCATACTGGCACTGAATCGGATACAAGGAGGAGGATGGGCACAGCATCGGGACCGGTGAGATTATCAACCCATAGGAAAAGCTGTAAACTTGATCACCTCGGTGATCCTTCATCCTCCCAGGCTTAGTTAAAAAATTGCATGTACCTGGCGTAACACGAAATAGCACGTAACACCGTGTTAATTCCTTGATATACTAATATTATGTTATGTGTTCCCTCACCCTCACCCTCCCAACTACATTTTCACCAATTCTTCTACACACCGATCATTTTGTTATGTAGAGCATTGCAAACAAATTATCAATATTAATTTACTGTTAACTTGGGGCAACTTTCATTGGTTTCTTTCTGTGCTAAGCAACTGCTACGCGTCGTATAAGTGTTGATGTTGTGGGATCAATCATATATGTAGATACGTTTGCTCCAGCACTCGAATTAGAACAGGATCCATGTTTCATCGTTTTTGACTCTTCCCGGCCACATTGCGTCGTGCTTCTTAATGCACCCACCGCATATCAAGTTGCACTATACATTCAAGGTGTAAAGCTCTTCATAGTACATCATATTAGTTATGTTGTACGAGAGCACATCGGGACATCTTTCCATTATTCCGATTTTACTTCCGTGACCGCACGCGATTAACCATTAATACCCTTATCATAACGATAGTGGTCAAGCATTCTGACATCCATTGCCTTTTAGTTGCCCCCTTCTAGACTTTTTTAAAATATGTCCTGTCTCTCTTTCTGGGAGAGGTTCGCATTTATTCGAATGCCGAACAAGGTGTTTTGGCGATATAGTTGTAGAAACTTTCGTAAGTGACGCTTGTACGTTTGCTATAAGGTTGACGTTGCGGAATCGTGTAAGTACTCCAAGTGTCCTAAGCATGCGATACCCCTTCCCGTCTTATCGGTAAAGCCGCAATTCTTTGGAACACATCGTCTCCAAGATGCTCGCGCTCATATAAGATTGTACCGAATTGGGGACAAATGCATAAATTTCGCGGTAAGAATGCCACCTCTCAGTAAAAAATCGGAGCTCACAGGCTTAACCTCAATAAGCCAAGGTTCATTATGCACAAAGGCATTTTTCAGTTGTCGTAAGCAATTACAAACAGCTGTTTAGAATCGGGATCTTTCATGAATTAAGCTGCTCGGTCATCATCATATATTGAAAACAGTTGTATAACCCAGTTTATGCCGAAATCTACTCTATATCGCAAAATCGAGTGCTCGCCTGATTTGTATTCCTCCTCTGCTACAGTGTGATTAGAAGTGTTGTATTATCTGTTCCCCAAAGAAAGGTGTCATGAGCTAGCCGTGCATTCCGACTTGTCCACAGAGAGAAGGAACAGTATGAACCGGACCTTCGAATAGCTGAGTGCCGCCTTCGCCTCAAAGGGTACTGTTCTGCGTTGAACAAGACTCATATTCAGTGATTGCTGCAATTATCATCAAATCGCTGCCGCTCACACTTGGGATTCGAGTAGAAACATCCCACCATTACCAAAGAATTAGGACCTGATAGGAAGAAACGCTTGATCAATTTTGGGATGGATGGGGGAGGGATACAACTGATAGCGCCACATTAATTTAGCGAAATCCATCCGCGGCAGATGGAGGATACACTAGAAGCAGCGGCGCCTGTAATGGAAAACTCACTTTTCGATCTCAACGCTTCTCAAGAGTGTGGAAAGAAAATGAAATGAAACTAGAAAAAAGGAGTAAACAGTGTTCTCCCCTGAAACCGCCGCTGTACTACGTGAGTCGACGAAAAAGGTGAGTCACAATATTATCAATATTACCATGCTTCTCATCTACAAGTATCAACCTCGGTGTCATTTGGTCAACAGCGGAAGTCGAAGCATCGTTTCGCTTCGCCGTCCTTCGAACCTATCTTTTTGAACTCTTCGCAATGTACTCATCAAGGTTCTATAAGTCTAGAGGCTACAATTTTAGGCTACGATTTTGTGGCTGAGAGGATCTAGCGCACATGCTCCATGGGACCTCAACACAAAACACACTCACAGCCGGGGTTGTTGTCAATACGGGGAAACTTGTTAAAATGGACTTTCTCCAGCCTGTCCCTCTAGTGATGTCCTTCTGTTTTATCGAATGAGCTTGGAGATACCCTTCCTATCAGCGAAAACATTGGTTTCCCTAGATCCCCTAGAAATGATGCCTGTTCCGCCTCGAACAGTTCATGTTTCCAGGTTTTTCCGCCAGGTTCTTCATTGAGTTGGGACTGGCGTATACATGAGCGAGATAGAATAAGTGAATTAGTGATGAACTGTTCTAATAATACTAGGTTGTTTCGAGAGTTCGTGCCATTTTCAAACTTTTTAATTTAATGTTCACTTCAAAAAGAAAAAAATGCAACATCTATGTACATCATATGCACCTTCACCATCGGCAAGTTGTTTCCAACGCCGGTGTGGATGCCTCGCTGTTAGGAAGAAGCGTTCGAGAGCTTTTATTTGAAATGAAGCACAATTTGCAAAAACTGGCATGACGGCAAGGAACAAGCTCTCGTCGTTGATCTAGACAGGGAGAGCACTGCTATTACGCTACGACTACCCTTTCGGCCATTATGGGTAGCTGTGCATTTCAATTGGCATACCTCCCATCCTTTGAGTAAGCAAACTTCGAGAGCTTTTTTGTTAGACTCGTTTAGCAAAGTTTAATTTGATTATTAAATTTACACATAGCATTTTGAGCGTTATCGATATACCTGAGTCTCCCTTAAAGTAGTACGGGGAGTTGAAACCCCTCCTGGTTAGTCGAACCATGACTGTGAGGTTAGACACCGAAGAGAGTTACTGGAAAATTATATTTGTGCACGCAGCGCGAGCCTTTCGCAAGATGGCGTATTCCATTTGAAGTTTGTTAAAGCCTACAGACCAATCATTGGAACGGACTAATCATAGCGGGTGAATCGATCGGCCACTTTGGCAGTGAACGGAGGGGGTTCGAAAGAGTTAACCAAGGCAGAAGAGTGAAAGTCAGGAACAAAGAAGAAGAAGAGAAGATCGTTGAACTGGCTGCAGACCACGACATGGCAGGCTGCAGCACTTTCCTCACGCCCTGTCACCTCGCGGTATCAACGCCCAGAACAACAACAACGAGAAGAAAATAATCAACAAAAACAAATAAATAAATAAGCAAGCGTAGGGTGAATTAGAAGTAAGTGTTGGATTAGCCGTGAAACTGAACGTAAGAGTTTGTGTGAAAGGTTCCACACAGCGTGTGTCGTCGGTATTCGAATTTGAGTGCTACGGTATATCTCTGCGGTCGAGTTACATGTTTTCCACACAACCAACTTTATGGAGTGCAGCAGCTGAAACAACTATCTTCAACTGTCCTCCATAGTTGCCACTGAAAGGAGACCGTTCCGTTACAACTTCGCTGTCTTAGTGAAAAAAAAAATGAAGATCCCTTTTAAGTGGCGTCTCGAAACGGGCCTCCAGTCATTCTTTACGTTTTTCATCATCGTTACTTTGTTTTTCCAGCAAGTGGGCAAGCGAGCAGAATAAGTGGCAGTCGGTGAGTGCGGTGAGTGATCAGGAGTATATGGTAAGTGAAGGAGAACTAAACAGCTAACACACAAACCCTCCTAAACACTTCGTGCGCGCTCCCTGAAAGCAGACCTGCCCGAAAGCTGCGTGTTTGACATTGATCATCATAGTAGCATGTCTGTAACATATAAACTGATTTTTCAGACATTTTCAGGAATATAGAAATGATTAATACGGTTTCGTCAACACGATAATTTGTGGGTATTACGAGGGTTGCCTTCTATATTTCGGTATTGAGCAATCCTAGTGTTGCAATCTGGCAACTGACAGCTCTATCGTGAAGTTTGACATTTTTGAGGTTATACGTACTCAGAATGTTTTGATATATGAGCGCTCTTTGTGTTGTTTACACTAACTTAAAAATTTACTCAGGCCATTGGCGCCCTACCCCCCACTTATTAGGCCGAACCTTCTTCCCCCCTTAACCTCCCCGTCCCCCTTTAGCGATGAAGCTCCATCAAGGATCAGTGCTTATTGATGATATGGTGAACTCAACCGAGGTCGAGTTCACTCCAAGACGAATTTCGTGGAGGTCTCCAAAATCAGTTGTTGTTCCGTTGCTGTGCGCAAACTAATATTGCAAGATCGTCGTGTGACCTATCGTGAGATTGGGACAACCTTAGGCATTGGAGGGACCAGCATACATTCAATATTTCATAAACATTTGACTGTAAAAGATTTGTTCGTGTTGGATCCCCTAAAATTTGACAATCCCTCAAAAAAAGGCTCGTGTCGATTGGTCGATAGAAATGCTCAAAAATACGAACGCTGTGCTTGGAAACACGTCTATGACGTCGCGACAGGTGATGGATCAGGGATTTTCGCGTATTAGCCCGAAAGTGAACAGCAGTCGGAGGGACGGAACATTCACCCAGAACTGGATGGACGCGGCAAATGGCGCGGCGAGATTTATGCGTTTAGGACGACTTTGGCATCTATCGTTGGGGAGCAAACTAGAAGTAGAGTACATTAATATGGTCAGACGATCGTACTAATCGACTCTACTCAAAATTTGGGCCCAAATGATAGGCGCTAAAGTCGTTTAAATCGCCACGAATTTCGCCGCGCGATTTGCCGCCTCTTCCCGTTTTGGGTGAATGTACCCAAAGTTTTTTTGCTGTTTTTTTTCGCCTGTTTTTTTTTTGGAAAACTGGACATGCCGGAACCGCACCACTAGGACAAGCAGAACAGACAATTCTGAGTGGTATGCAACCATTTGTTTGCCAGTTGCCATCCAAAAAATCAGGAAAACAACTGCTGAACACGGATCACTCTTCACCACAACAATGCGAGCTCCCACACTGCACTTTTGAGCACACAAAACAACGATTTGATGAGTCATCAGCCATATAGTCCCCGGGTGACTTCTTCTTATCCGGTACGTAAAAAATTAAATGATAGGTCAACGTTTTTCGATACCTGAAGAAGCCGTTGATGCGTTTAGAATGCATGTTTTAGAGTTACCACAATCAGAGTGGCAAAAGTGCTTCGACAATTGATTCGAACGCATGCAAAAGTGTACAGATCTTAATGGGGAATTTTTTTTGAAGGCAGTAAAGCGATTTTCAATGATTGACATCTATTTTTGTTCCCTAATCACGAAATATAAAAGGCGACCTACGTATATCATTCTTCTCAAAAAATCAGGAATGTTATAATGTCGACCACATCGTCAATTAAATCTGTCGTCCCGCCGATCACCGATTTTCTCGAGCGGGCAACAGTAATGTCTCCACTCCCTATCGCGATTCAATGTAATTCAATAAGCCATCCCAATCCAATGGACACGAGGTCTTTATCGTTTTCAGAGCCTTTGAGAACTAACCATCGCGCTAGAGGCCGTTCTGGTGTTCGCTTGACATTCCGAGATCCTGTTTATAACTGCCCTCCTGATTCGACGGTCATCGCGACATCGCATAAAGTTTAGTGCCTAGCTGATCCCCTAGCCCTTGGCGTAAGCAACGGCTTCCCTGATCTTCACTCGTTGACTGGGCGCCGTGCTGGCGATTTTCCCTCTACGCTTGTGCAGAAGCGTAGTGCTTTCCACATTGCGTAGAGTGGCGATTAGAGCATGCCTATCCTGCTTTCGCAGAGTCCAAGTCTCCGAGGCGTACGCCAAAACAAGAATCACCGCAGTGTCGAAAAGGTTAGCTTAGAGTTGAATGTTCCTAGTGTTTTTCACTTCTCCCTCGATATTTCTCAAGGCTCTCCCCACCGCGCGTTTCCTTCTGTTGGGTTCGTAAGTTAGCTCGATCATCATGTTGACTTCTCGAACTAGTTACACGTAGCTAGAATTCCAGGGATATTCATTCTGTTCAGCGTAAAAGAAGTACCAGGTAAAAATCCGTTACTCCTGAACATCGTCTTCATTAGATTCATTCCTAAGTCACTCTCCACAAGCGTTGTCGAAGTCGGCCATCATCCGTTCCGCTTGCTCGCTGTTCGGCATTATGAGTATATCTTCTTGAAAGCAGAGGTGATGTGAGTAGCTGCCGTCGATTACCACACTCAAGTCTGCAAGGTTTAAATGTGTATGAGTAGATATGTGTGTGCCTGTGTGTGGGTGTGGGTGTGTTGGTGTGTGCTGCTTTTTGTGTATGTGTTGCTGATAGTGTATATGCTGGTATGTGGGCTGACGGAACTTGTCCCCATTTCCCACATTCGCTATGCGGCGTGCGGCAAATCTTTTTTGGTGGCTCCAAACTACAATTACCGTACTCAGCCCTCCTCCCGGCCAATTGATAGGACACCATATTTTCCGTTGACTGCCTTACTCTTTTGATTGGATTCGATTGCTTTTTTCTCTTTCTTTTTGTTTCTATGTTCATCAGATTGAGTGTTGGCGGGGTATCGCCTTCTCTATTATCGACGATCACGACCGCATTGGGACTGGAGAGAGCGGCCAGCAAATTTGAATACTTGGAGAACTCTCTAAGTTAAAGATTGCACGCTCCAAACTTCCACCGCATTTCTAGGAACGCGGCGGGTGCGGCAAGCGCGACGCAGTGTTCGGGGAGGAGCTACCGGACACTGGTATGTGTATTTGCCTGTGTAGGTATGTGTGTGCTAGTTTGAGTGACGGAACTTTTCCCCAAATTTCCAAGGGCAGCGGCTGTGATTTCGCGGCGACTGCC